ATTACATTTGGTGAATATATTATAAATTACTGCATTTTGTTATTGGATATTTAATTCGTTTTTGATGTCACAAATTTTCATGAACACTCATACAGTAAACATCCTTACACAAAAAGTTTGTATATATTCTTAAAGTTGTTATGAAGCTGGGAGTTCTGGATCAGATTATAAGCAAAATTTTAAGTCTTTTTGATGCACATTGCTAAATCTACCCTCCATATGAACATATACACTTGTGTTTGTCCACTGAATTTTCACTAGAAGAATGTTCTTCTCACAAAAAGTATATACAGGAGTTGTACTTAACTGTTACTCTTGGAGCTCAACTCATGGAAGTTGGTAAAGGTGCATTTTATAACAGAACCAAGGTGAGTTTTCTCCTTGGTGAGACACAGGTACAGCAGGTGGGGTTGGCACACAAAGTAAAATTTATTTGCAATGAGTAAGGAGATCACTAGGAGTAACTTCCAAAGCCCTGACTCTCTGAACAAGGGTGGATGGGTTTCTTTGTTTAGGGTTAGGATGAATATTCAGTTAGGGAAGACTTGTTATGATGTGTAGAGGTGAGCATGAGGTTGGGTGTATGTGTTAAGGAAACATGCCTGCATATACATTGCATGTTATGTAATGACATTTGTTCTCCTCCTTGGGCCAAGATTTTATATTAGAATGAGGTAATTGTAGTCATCAGTTACTCTAGAGGTCATGCCATGGTCCATCTGCACAGGCATGAGTGGGGTTTTGCTCAAACTGGTCTGGGTGGTCAGAGCCAGCTGCAGGTCTTGTCAGGGTAGTTGCTCGCTTTGAGGGCTGGTTTCCGGTTCCCATTTGTTTAAGAGAGAAGCTGGGGAGAAGAGCTCAGGGAAAAATCTGGGACAAAGGTCGGTGAGTACAAGCAGGTGGGGAGTCAAGGTGAGGTCTTGAGGTCCTGCTGGTGACAACTTCAGTGGTTCAGATCTTAACATGATAGTGAATAAATCATCACGCCTCAGGAATCTACATTGATGAAGACTCCAATAATTGCTCTTTAATCAACACCTGCATGAAGCTATAAAAGGTTGACAAAGTTTAGAGGAGAAATGGTTACGTTTTGCATTGTCTTGTTTCTTTCAGTAAATAGTCAAGGTCACATTGTGACAGTAGCAGGGACGGAGAGCTCAAAATGGAATATATTTATAATTTGATGTTGGTGTGTTGGGGTAGGTAGGGCCATGGTATTTTGCAAACACAAGCTTCTTGCTATCAGCAGTTGGCAAACTCTACTCCATCATCACCCCAGAATGGAGGCAGAGTGTGCTTTTTCTCCAAAATGACATGTTTAGTCATCATCTTAGACTGTGTGCCAACTCTGGTGCTCTTGGATTCCTAGGGCTAAAATGGCATATGGGGAGAAAATAGAATCTTACTGCCTCTTATTCTTAAGGCCCTTACACAGGGCTTACATTTCCAATTAACTTCCTACGTTCATTTCAAGTTTTACTAGTAAGATTATATGCTCTTGTCATCCCCACAGTGGAATTATTCAAGCCTTGTTTATTGGGTTCTTGTCCTACCATAAACCCCAGTGTCCGTACCTTCCCTAAAGACAAGGACTAACACAAGGATTCAATGTTGTCCTTTTTCTAAGTCCTTGTGCAGTGCTTTTGTGCTGATTTTTTCTTTTTCTTTTTTTTTAATATTTTATTTTTTTAAGGTAGGCTCCACACCCAACATGGGGCTCAAACTCAAGTCTCCAAGTCAAGGGTCACAGGCTCTACCAACGGAGTCAGCCAGGCACCCCTGCACTGGTATTTTTGAGCACACATTTAAAATGTATGAAAGAGAAGCCTCTTTGAATAGTAAAAAGAGTAAATGCACAGACGCTGAAACATTCATCTGGCTTCATGTCTTGGCCCTGCTACTGGCTGGTTGTGTGACTGGGGATGGCTTACTTAACCTCTTTGGCCCTCCTTTATCTGTAAGCTTAGGATACAAATAGTACCTACCTTGTGGGGTTATTAGGATTATATAAACTAACATCTGTGAAGTGCTTATAGTAGTGCCTGGTCCTTAGTATTATAAAGCATTTGTTAAATAAAATACCAACATTTACTCTTAAGTCTTTCCTTTTACTGTGGCCAAGTTCAAAAAGGATGTTGTGTGTGTTCTCCTCTAGGATTTTGATGAATTCTTGTCTCACATTTAGATCTGTCCTCCATTTTGAGTTTCTCTTTGTGTATGGAGTAAAAGAATGGTCTAGTTTTATTCTTCAGCATGCGGCTGTCCAATTTTCCCAGCACCACTTATTGAAGAAACTGCCCTTTTTCCAGTGGATAGTCTTTCCTGCTTTGTCGAGTATTAGTTGACCATAGATTTGAGTGCCCATTTCTGGGTTCTCTATTCTGTTCCATTGATCTATGTGTTTTTGAACCAATACCACACTGTCTTGATGATCACAGCTTTGTAGTACAGCTTGAAATCCGGCATTGTGATTCCCTCAGCTCTGCTTTTCTTTTTCAATATTCTCCTGGCTATTCGGGTCTTTTCTGATTCCACGCAAATCTTAAGATTATTTGTTCCAACTCTGAAGAAAGTCTGTGGTATTTTGATACGGATTGCATTGAATGTGTACATTGCCCAGGATAGTATAGACATTTTCACAATATTAATTCCTGGAAGATACATCCATGAAGGCAAGGGAAACAAAAGCAAAAATGGCCTTTTGGGACTTAAGATAAAAAGTTTCTGCACAGCAAAAGAAACAGTCAACAAAACTAAAAGACAACCTACAGAATGGGAGAAGAGATTTGCAAATGATGTATCAGATAAAGGGCTAGTATCCAAGATTTATAAAGAACTTATTAAACTCAACAGCAAAGAAACAAACAATCCAGTCATGAAATGGGCAAAAGACATGAAGAGAAATCTCACAGAGGAAGACACAGACATGGCCAACAAGCACATGAGCAAATGCTCCGCATCACTGGCCATCAGGGAAATACAAATCAAAACCACAATGAGATCCCACCTCACACCAGTGAGAATGGGGAAAATTAACAAGGCAGGAAACCACAAATGTTGGAGAGGATGTGGAGAAAGGGGAACCCTCCTGCACTGTTGGTGGGAATGGGAACTGGGGCAGCCACTCTGGAAAACTGTGTGGAGGTTCCTCAAAGAGTTAAAAATAGATCTGCCCTATGACCCAGCAATTGCACTGCTGGGGATTTACCCCAAAGATACAGATGCAGTGAAACACCAGGACACCTGCACCCCAATGTTTCTAGCAGCCATGTCCACAATAGCCAAACTGTGGGAGGAGCCTCGATGTCCTTCTACAGATGACTAGATAAGGAAGGTGTGGTCTATATATACTGTGGGATACTCCTCAGCCATCAGAAACAACGAATACCCACCATTTGCTTCAACGTGGATGGAACCGGAGGGTATTAATGCTGAGTGAAGTAAATCAGTCGGAAAAGGTTTCATTCATTCGGGGAATATAAGAAATAGGGAAAGGGATTAAAGGGGAAAGGAGAGAAAACGAGTGGGAAATATCAAAAAGGGAGACAGAACATGAGAGACTCCTAACTCTGGGAAACGAACAAGGGGTAGTGGAAGGGGAAGTGGGCGGGAGGTTGGGGTGACTGAGTGACGGGCACTGAGGGGGGCACTTGATGGGATGAGCACTGGGTGTTATGCTATATGTTGGCAAATCGAACTCCAATAAAATATACAAACAAAAAAAGTCTTTCCTATTACCTGTCAATATTTTCAGAGCATGTTTGTGTCTTTTTCTGTCCCTCCCTTTCACTTTTTATTGCTTTTGTTTTTCTGTAATAGATTTCAAATGAGTTTTTTAAATCCATAATTTTCCTCTCTCATAAGGGATCAGATATTTAGGGTTTTCTTGCCAGGATGGACCTTCATTGAGACTAAATAATAAAATGTCCTAATAATTGCTAGCACTATTTAAGCACTTAATTATGAACCAGAAATGATACTGGGAACTGTACCTAAAGTCTCCTTTATAAGGCTCACAAAATCCTATAAAGTAAATACAGCTATAATGTTCATATTAAGTGAGAGATTTGAAGGATTAAGCCACTTTTCTGGGCCATACAAGTAGTTGCAGAGCCAGGCTAGGAGCTGGATTTGTTGGAAGCTTTTTGAAACCACCCTCCTCCTGCTTTTCACCCTATTTAATGCCCAGGTAGATAAAAAACTTGGTTTACCTCCATCAAGTTGCCATTGCTATTGATAGTGACACTAATATTAGCAAAGTGACAGTAAAAATAACTGCTCTTCCCCAGGAGTCTGCTATTGTCATGGGCCTGTTCTTGCTTATGCCTGTTGGGTTAGCTACACCAGGAGGCCCTCAGACCAGCTGGCTCGCACGCCCGCCGTGGCGGCTCACGTGAGCAAACCACACTCTAAGCCTGTACATGCCTTAAAGTTACAAAATCAAAACATTGAGGACCACCACTCACAAAAAGACAACGAGGCTTTAAACTCTGGCCAATCAAATAATTTCCTTACTCTGCTTCTGTACTTTCTCCTTATATGCCTTTGCCCTGCACATCTGACCACTCTTAGTTTTACTTAAATAAACTTAACGTTTTTGTATGGCAAAGTTTATCTTTTAACAGGTTCTGAAAAAACTGTCTAGGCCCGAGATAGGGCCACTCCCACCCAGAGTGCCGTGTCAGCAAGCCAAAAACTTAGGTGGATTTTGAGTTCCTGTAGATAGCCCATATTTACACAGTAAATCTGCACTGTATCCATTCAGTCCCCAAACACCAGGCCACCTCTGGGTCTTCTCACCCAAAAAAGGTTGAGTGTGTGGCCCCAGCCAATCAGATATTCTTTGTTTCCTGTCTTTATTCCTTATCTTATAAAAGCTTCTTGTCCTAGCCCCATTTTACTTCACTGGACCCTTGAGAACAGAGACTGCCACTTCTTGGAGTGTTCAGTAGGGTTTGTTTTCATCAACTAAATTGTCTTCTTAATAATTCTTTTAACAGTTTTTGGTGATGAAGAACGTGTTCTGAAGCTGACTGCTAGCAGGCTACAGGACAAGGAGACAGACAGGCAAGGCACCTGCTAAAACCAGGTTCATCATTCCTCATCGTTACCAGAGGTCGTGGGTAAGTCCCTCTTGCATTTGAGCTCCGCTCCCTTGCATGCATCTCTCTGATCCAAACTGACTTTATTTAAAATATATGTGTATATACTTATGACAATATATATGTATAATAATAATGTAACAATAATAACATTTTTTTTTCAAAAAGGAATCTGGGACCCCTTTCTGGGGTTTGTTAAAAAAGTGCCCAGAAAGTTTCTGGAGACCAAAGAAAGGTTCTTAAATTTATTAAAATCACCAGAAAAGGGGTGCCTGGGTGACTCAGTTGGTTAAATATCTCCCTTCAGCACAGGTCGTGAACCCAGGGTCCTGGGCTCGACCCCACATTGGGCTCCCTGCTCAGTGGGGAGTCTGCTTCTCCCTCTCCCTCTGCTGCTTCCCCTGCTTGTGCTCTCTCTATGTCAAGTAGATAAATAAAAGCTTCTTTAAAAAAATTCTCAGAAAATTCTGGGGTCCAGAAGAGACTCTAGGTAGTTATGTTGGATCCACAGCATTTGGCAGCCTTTAAAGGACTAAGAAAAACAGGAATTAGAATTCTGTAATAGGGGGACTTGCTGAAATTAGAAATTGGACTGTTTTGATCATCAAATCTAAATCTAAATCTAGTTTTAAAAATGTAAATCCGAGCATGAATCAGACTATTAAAAGCCATCAGAAATCTTGTCATGAAAGACCCGTAAGTCCAGACTCTTGTTAAGTTGGTGTTGGGAAATCCATTGGTTGTGGATCGTTTTCTGCCAGGAACAGCAATTTTCTTCTTTCTTGTCTCATTTTGTGCTCGGAGACCTTGGCTTGGTTTTCTGCCTGCCGGGGGCACCCAGGTTACCTCTTCTCACATATGCAGATGGTTCAGCTGTGAGGTTGGGGGCCCCAAATATGGCTGGACAGAAATGTACATTGCACTCCATTTGTGACTGGATGTGCCTGCATAGAAATGTGGGTTGCACCCCCATTTATAGCTAAGGTTCTGTTGACTGTTGCCAGCCTTAAGGGGATTGTCTAGGTCTTCTTTCTTTGGTTGTCTTTGGGTGTGGCTCTGGATTTGGGGAGTATATTATCTTTTGAACCCTCTTTGGGGATGTCTCTTTGGTCCATAGGGTTATTCAGTCCTGCAGGGAATGTTTACTATTTGCTCTGGCTAAAACCTGACAAGATATTTGAAAAGATTTTTAAGTAGCTCTAGAGCTAGAATTTGGACAAAATTTGAAGCTGATACAGAGCCTGATGGGAATTTTTTGGTACACTATGTACCCAGAAGGAAAGAGAAACATTTCAAAGACAAATAGCTTCAAATCTAGAACACAGGAATCTTTTGGTTTCCATCTAGCTGGAGATCTCCCTGATACAAAGAAGCAAATTGAAGATAATGTAGTTGGATGGGTGGGTCAGCTCCTGTTGTGACCAAATTCACATTGGTCCACTCATGTTGTGACCAAATTCTTTGAGCAATTAAAAACAACTAAATGGGTAAAGAAGATGTGGTATTACATATACAACAGACTATTACTTGCCCATAACAGAGAATGAAATCTTGCCATTTGCAACAGCATGGATGGATCTAGAGGGTATTATGCTAAGTGAAGTAAGTCAGTCTGAGAAACACAAATGCTATATGATTTCACTTTTATGTGGAATTTAAGAAACAAAACAAATGAACAAAGAGAAAAAGAGTAAAAAAAAAACAGATTCTTGAATACAGAGAATAAACTGGTGTCACTGCGGGGGAGGTGGGTGGGGGGAATGGGGTGAAATAGTAAAAGAGATTGAGAGTCTACTCATCATAATGAGCTGTGAGGAACTTCTAGAATTGTTGAATTGGTCTATTGTGTACAACATAATGTAACACCAACACTGCATGTTATTTATACTTCAATAAAGCAAACACACAACTCTCCTATAAAGTAGGCCAGAATTTCTTACATAAATCTGTCCTCAAGCCATGCCATGTTACCTCACCTGGGAGTCCTCATTTCTATTTTGAATAAATAAAGTTTTCTATCAAATGTACTTTATGTGTGTATGCTTGTATGTCTGGATTTGGATGAACCCAGAGGGTAATGCTCTGGAATGAAGCAGTATATATCAATAGAATGGGAAGTCTTGCTGACAAGTTACCTTATTGTGCCTTTTCCCTTTACGAATGTAAAAATCAAAAAGACAAACATCCAGCTGCAGGAGGCCTATCTTTGTTCTTACTGCGGGGGGGGGGGGCAAAGACTACAGATCCAGATCTAGTTTATTGTTTTCTTCAAGCATTAATATTCATCCTTTACTGCCAGGAATGCTTGTGAAGCTCTGTCACTCTAATTTAAAAATGCTTTTGAGGAGGGCTCCATACTGTCTGCTCTGAAATGGGACCTTGCCATTCCTATTTGTAAACTGTCAGCATGAGGCAGGAACTAGCCATCAGGAAGATTTGCTTTCGCAGAAATATAAAGTGATTGGAAAACCCCAAACATCTATAAGTCTAACTTCTTTCATGCCTTATAGTTTTCTTTTTCTTGTGCCTTAAGAAGAGAGCAGAGCATCCACTGGGGGTTTTCCATTCATTGTTTTGCTGACTTTTAATTCACAGATGATTTATACCATGGCTGCATTTGCAGAACCAGCTCATGTATATAGGTTACAAGAGAACAAAATAGCATTACAAGAAGTTTTTCTTTCTTCGCTCTCAAAACTTTCCGTGATTTTCAAAGTGAGCGCCTTCTGGATTTCTTCCACACTTCAATACACCAGAGAGCCAGGAGATGGAATCAATGTTATATTAAACAAGGATTGAATAAAGGATCCATCTTAGGAATTATTTGGTGTTTCCATCTCATGTGTGGTCTCTATTTACAAAGGAAGATAACTTTCCCAGTCATCTATGCTGCTCTCCCAGAAGCCCCCACGTGGAGGCACGGCACCCTCAGAGCAGGGAGAAGACACCTAGCAATGAGTTTTAGAGGTGAAAACAGGGCAGCTCAGTAATTATTGGGCACCGCTAACACTTGGATTCACCAAGGCTTGTCTTGACTTGTGTCATATTTCTGTTAGGCCAGGTGTGCATTGTTTGTGGGAACCCACAGATTTCAGGGAGTGCAGCCTTTGCATTGACTCTGTGTCATCTGCTTTCACCCTCTTGTCAGTCTTCCCACAAGGACAGGGTGAAGCTAGGGAGCACGGAAAGATGAATATTTACCATTCTTTCCGTAATGGAACCATGTACCGACAGCCCCTGGCAAACCACTGGCCTCTACTGTAATTTCAGCCTGCCCTGAGAATTGCTGTTTCCAGAATAACAGATGCACCACTGGCTGAGGTCTGCGAAGCCTTTACAATTCTCCCATCATCTTCCATGTCCTTTTCTGCCACAATATGGTACATATTCTTCTTGTAGATCAACTGTCCATTCGTCTACATTAGTTGGTTTCTCAGCGTATTTACCAGCGTGAGTTCTTAAGGACCAGGAATTCTCTCTTTTGATCTAACGTCTCAGCTAGCAAATGTGTAGGGATTCAAGAAGTATTGTTTCATAAATGAATGACTGAGCGAATGAATAGAAACAGTACTTCATTTACTCTTTCAATATACCACTTGCTTGCAGAGATAGGCACTAAAAATCATTAAAAAAAATAGAGCACAATTCGTTAAGAAGTAGAAGTACCCAAGTTGAGATAAAAAGAATAGATCCTTGCCAAATTTTTAAAAAGGAAACAGAGAAATGTCTTAGTCAAGAAAAAGGGAGATTGATATATCATGAGTTTTGCAAAATTATTTTCATTTAATTCACTTTGTATATATTTTAATTTTTTTGAGATTTTATTTATTTGAGGGAGAGAGAACATGAGCAAGGGGCAGGAGCAAAGGGGGAGGGAGAAGCAGACTCCCCGCTGAGCAGGGAGCTAGATGCCTGACTCCATCCTAGGACCTTGGGATCATGACCTGAGCTGAAGGCACTTAACCAACTGAGCCACTCGGGCACCCCTGTATATATTTTCTAATTGATTTTTGTAAATTATTGGTAGTAGAGTTGGGTATGGAAAGAAATATGCAGTAAGTTGCAGCTCTTTAAAATTTTTTTTTTACTTATTTATTTGAGAGAGGTGGGGGGTGAGAGGCAGAGAGAATCTGAAGCGACTCCGCACTGAGCACAGAGCCTGACTTGGGGCTCGATCCCACAACCAGGAGATCATGACTTGAGCCGAAACCAAGAGTCAGATGCATAACAGCCTGGGTCACCCAGGCACACCTACTGCTCCATGTTTCAAGAAACTTAATATTTAAGGTATGTGAGGACTATATAAATATACCCTGTAGAAATGCTTTGGTAAGTGTTGTGAGACTGATGATTTCTGAGAGAATCATAAAGTCACCCCAGGGGGCTCTAGAGTGCACTGTGTCCCCTAGGAGCTTGGGCTCTGTAGGCAGGTTTACTGCTAGCTGTGCGCTTCCTGGCCTAGTGTCCTTGGGAGAGTGCTGAATCTCACTATTCCTAGGTTTCCTCATCTGTAACATGGGGGCTCAATGACCAGACAGCTTGCATCAGGGGACTGGAGGGAGACTTCAGGGAATGGATGTACGTGGAGTGCTTAAGGTGATGTCTAGAGGATGGCGAGCAAGACTGGTGATGCTTTCTGAGCAGAGTAAATAGATGTTTGCCTGCTGCGAAGGAAGGGAAAGGGCAAACCAAGAGGCATAGCATTTACAGGGCTCAGAAATTTAAATCACGGGATGTTTGAGGAGCTGGAGAATTCACAGGGCCTGGAGCACATGGTCCAGGTCTCCAGCGTGAGGCTGTGGCCGTGGCAGGAAGGCAGCCCTAGGCTGTGAGCCCAAGGCCATGACATTCTGCCCATGAAGTAACTGCACAGACGGCATTCGCTGACTTGTCTGGTCATAAACACTCTGACTTGCTTGGTAACCTTTGTATTTTAAACTGTAGCACAGCTTAAAAACTAATCTTTTCTAGCTCTTAGGGTTTTTATCCAGTTTTATGTCCTTTCACTAGTTGTTTTTACT